TTATAAGAACACATTTGTAAATAGATTAATTTTTAAATGCAACCTTTTATGATATTTTATGCCAGATATATTGTATCTAGTTTGATCTTTTTTTTCCTTTTTATTCTATTATAATTTTTGGCTGAACCTTGAAACTTTTTATCCTGTAACATTAGATAAGTATTTTTATCTAATGAGCAATAAAGACATTTATTATTACCATTATTATTATTATTATTATTATTATTATTATTATAAAAGTAAAAGCAAGCAAACTGCTTAGGGCGCGTGAAAACGGGTCTTTAACCCTTTAACTCCCAGAAGTGATGAACATGAAACTTCTCCCAATAATATCCATACTTTGTCCAGCAAACAGGTTATGAGAATATTCAAACTCATCAGGTAGAAATTATCTTGATCTAACATCAAATTCTCTTAACTAAATTACAAGGAAATGTGTAGAAGCTAGAAGGGAGAATTATGAATCAGATCTTGGCAATTGAAGGGTTAGGTCGCGATTGGCTTTAGTTATGAATCTGTTTGGTCGATAGGATGGTTCGAGTTCTTTGGACAGTCACGTGACAAAAAGTAAATTAATCCAGCATCAGCGTTCAACTGAAAGTTGCGCAATAACGGACGAGAGGTTAACAGCTTACTGTTAGGAACACAAGCGAGCTTGCCCTTGCTTTTTAACAACTCGTTGTTACAGGTCTTAAGCGAATTTGGCCTCTAGATACAAACATAGCTTCTTAGTTACAGTAGAGTATAGTTGATGAGGGAACCAGGGGCCACCCCTTGGAGTCGACCCAGGTGACCCATGGGCATTTGTCAAGACAGTTCTAACCCCTGTCTTTGGGGTGCCGCTGCCTCTATTTTTAAATCAAACATGGCCGGTGGAATAAACGATCCCGAGCTTCCTTAAGTTAACTCATCCTAATAAGACGACTTCCCTATAGGCGAGCACACTATTTAAAGTACTCTCAGGCTTGAGATGATGTAATTAAAACCCATCCGGTGGTACAGTACAGTAGTACAATTGTAACAAACACCTCAGAGACATATGAAGACATCAACATCCAACAGAACAAGGAGTGCGCGTTTCTTGGCGTTAAGATGTATTACCGCCGGCCATCGTGGCGCTGGACCTTAGGCAAATCCCGTATGTTGGTCCTCAGGTAGGTTTGCTCAAGAACGTACGTAGATTGGAACAATCTCCATGCATACCTAGGGGTTCCCGGTGGGTTGCCCGGGGATCGAATCCCACGGACTGGCCCCTAATACCCGCATAACTTAAGATTTTGTTGTCAGACATTCATCCAGTTTGCCATAACTTAGCTGATGTCACAACCACCACTATCTCAAATGGCAGAGTTACAAATCGAAAACTCCCACTCGGAATCTTTTCAATTTGATGAACCGAAAGATCAAGACAGAGTCGAAAAAGCGGTCCTTGCCACTTTCCCTGCGGCTCTTGCCTCCCTCAGCTTTGGTTACTGTCTGGGATATTCATCGTCAGCTTTGGAGGATTTACAAAATGATAATACCTCCTTCAACATCAGCCTAACGGCTGAGCAAGCATCCTGGTTCTCGGTAAGTTTGATTTTTTATCTCGATGAATTGAAGAAACTCTTATATTTTGTAAGTTGAGCCGTTGAATCAGTCAAATATGTCCCTCTTTGAACATAAAAATATTTTCAAAAGCTTACGCTTCACCTTATTCTAATTCTGTACAAGTACAGACACGGCAAGGCTATGAATATCATTTGACAATTATCTGATGTTGTAACTTAAAAGACCGTTATAGTGTATTTCACGTATTTGCAGCGTACGGACATTAATTTATCTTCACCTTTCGTAAGCACTAAGACATGGAATGACCTACAACCACCTGAAACCACCTACAACCACCTAAAACCACCTAAAACCACCTAAAACCACCTAAAACCACCTAAAGCCACCTACAACCGATAATAATAATTTCTAAAAATACTTGAGCCCTGCGATCCATTTGAATCATTAACTGGTCAGCGGCCGCCTTCCATCAAAGGAAAAACGCTCCGTTTCGGAGGCTTTTCGCGTTTCGCGCGGATCAAAATAAAAACTGACCGGAAAGCCTCTGGCACACAGGGTAAGCCAAGAACTAAAATCGGAACAAGTTAATGCCAGCGTGTCGTAAGTTCCGATAGCTGATTGACTTGATCTATTTCGCATTTGGAACTCGTAAGGATGCTTCTTGTAAGTGCGGTATTTTTCGGAACTATAGGCTACATGCATCTCGCGATATTTGCAAGTTTTGTTTATCACACAACGTTTCAAATGTCACTGTTCTTTTCGTGGTTTCCTATTCTCGGTCAATTTAATTTTTTCTCTGAATAATGCCAACTTATTGTAAAACGGTTTGTTTCCTTTGTTGTACACACGCTCCGCAGCCCGATTTGAAGCAATTTCAGATGGTTAGGATTACTCGGATTTCCCTGGGACAAATCACCCCTGATATTATATTACGCAACCTCGTCAAATTTCTGACTACCCGCTCGGTGTCCTGTTTACCTCTGTCAGACGTTGAAAAAAGCTGACCTCGAAAACGTAGCTTAAGTATTACTAGAAAAGCCTTAAGGCTCTTAGTGCTGCTCCTGTGTAAAAAATTTTCTTTGCGTTTTTCCCTGGTCATGTGAGCCATTGGATGGGCAAATGTCGCAGACAGTGACTTAATTTTCAGTGGTATTAGTTTTCGCTATCGATGGGAACCCGTGAGACAGGACAACATTTCCCGTGTGTATTTACATTTGTCAACAAAATTGTAAAAAAAAACGTCCAAAATGATAAAAGTAGTATTCTGAAGGTGGCTGTAGGTGGTTTCAGGTGGTTTCAGGTGGTTTCAGGTGGTTTTAGGTGGTTGTAGGTGGTTTTAGGTGGATTTAGGTCATTCCATGCTTTTAGTAACTATCCTTTAGCTTCCAGTTGGCAAAATTAGGGATCTAAAAATGGAACACGAGGCGCGTGTCTAATTCATACTTAAATGCTCATCACATACGTGTATTTCGGTAGATAGTTATAACTTAGTGGTAGAGACCACATGCTGAATAGGTCAAAGGCGACCCAAGCTCACGTCTCGAGAAAAAGCAAACGCTTAACACGGTTAATCATGAAAGCGTCACGCCTTGTAGGCGTGACGCTTGTTGTGTGACTCGGTGTTAAGTTACGAGAGGAACCGTTGAGAATTTGAACACGTTAGAAGGAATAGTATGGGAAACGAAATATGGTCGATTTGCAAGGATAAATATTTCGAAATATGAACATTTTACACGTAAAATCAATAAAAGTTACTCCCATCCTATGTATCCTTTGTAGTTTCTGTTGATTTCTGCCGTTTTAAGCGTGTTTTTCCATCACTGCTATTGTTGTCGAAAGATAACAGTAGAAACCAGTTCTACAATATTTTTGGTAAAAGTCGAAACTCTAGGACTTTTTCTCCTTTACAATGAACATGCCATTTTCCTTTTTTTTTTTTTTCTTTTCTTGTGTTTCTTTTTGTCCTTTTATGTTAGATTTCTTCATTTCCGTTTTATTTCCAGTGTAATTAAATTAAGTTAGTAAAGAAAAAATTTAAAAATTTAAAAAATTGACCCGCCTCGATTAGCATTTGTTATTTGCGGGTCAAAGGAATGTCTTGTAAATATGTCAGAAAATAAAAAAAAAAAATGTGATAAGTGTGAATTAGTCGATAAACACAATCGAAGCACTTGAGTGTAATTCGTTAGGCTTTTACTAAAAGACACCTTGAGATTGTTAGATGATAAAGGTTCTTGATCCTTATTTACAGTCCTTGATTGCTTTTGGACTGATTATTGGGTGTCTGATCGGTGGATGGGCGATTGAAAAGTTTGGTCGAAAGGGCACCACGATGATGTGCTCCGTACCTTTCGTCCTAGGATGGCTCCTTATCAGTTATGCCCAGAGTGTTGCCATACTTTACGCTGGTAGATTCATCACAGGTGTGGCGTGTGGCGCTGTCTCCTTTACTGCTCCAGTGAGTATTGACGACTCTTCGTTGCATGTCGTTCATGAAAAAAGGATGAGGTTAAGTCTGCGCTCTGGCCAACAGTCCCACACTATCGAAGTTTATCCGGTTTCCGTAGCATGAAGCAAACAAAGGTTTAGTCATTCACCCTGGATGGGACGCTTGTCCCTAGCAGGTTACCCCGGTAAATTCGTTAAGCTTCCCTGACAGTTGATAGGTGCCCATTTATACTCTCGTATGGAGAGAGGCAGTATATAGTATACTGACTGAAGTCACTAGCCTTCAAACAAGACACAGTGTGTGTCCCGCCCAGTTTTCTGAAAAAAAACCTTTCGACCGGATTTCAGAGTATTAACTGTCAAGCTACCGCATTCGTATTGAAAAGAAAGGAAGGATAGAAACAGAGATGACGAGTTTTTGAAGACTTCCTTTGCCCAGTGAGAAAAACTGGCCGGGGTCAAAGTCTGAAGGTCTGGGTTTGACACCTGGCCTGGTCATTGTGTTGTGTTCTTGGGCGAAAAACTCAGGAGTATAAAAGGGTAACGGCGAATTGGCCATTTTCGATATATTAAAATTCAAACTTGGCCTCGAGGCTTGGGGAAATAAAACAAAAGAAATCCCAGCGAGGTTGAGGGATGAATGATTGATTTCGTTTGTTTTTTCCCTCATAGCATAGGAGCCGATGATGTTAGAATTTTAACGTATCGAAAATAGCCAGGAGCTCCAGAAATGGCTTATTGTCAGGAAAGCCCAGTAAAAAAAGGTGGGAGTAAAATTGCCATAGACTGGTATCCCAACCAGGGAGGAGTAGTAAAACTCCTAGTCGCTTCACCGGGATAAGCTTCGGTTGCATAGGCTATTAAGCTCGAATACAGACTTCACCTGAACTGGCTAACCTTTTTTCGGATTCTGTTAATCTTGATCATCGTCAAACAGTTATCTTCTTTTTTCTTTCTTTCATCAGCGTTGTAAAATAAAAAGTAGTTCATTTTTAAGTTTCCTTTGTGAAAGAGCTGTATATGTCCCACGTTAGGTGTACATTGCCGAGATTGCAGCCGCCCGAGTGCGTGGAGTGTTAGCTAGCCTAAGGAGCCTGAGTTTCACATTGGGCGTGTTGATATGCCTGGCAACGGGCGTCCTGTGTCATTGGAGGTGGCTGGCTTTTATTGGTGCAATTCCTCCAACGCTGGTCCTTATTCTGATGATTCCCATGCCACAGTCCCCTCGCTGGTTACTGGGAAAGAACCGAACGGATGAAGCGCTGGAAGTCCTATTGTGGTTACGAGGTCCAGAAGCGAACATAAAGGAGGAGTGTTCCAACATTAAAGACACCTTAGGTAACAACCTAATTCATCACCCCTCAAGAGGTTCAGAGGCAAAGAAAAGACGACGAGTGAAGTCGAGGAAAGAGGGGGAGGGGGGAGGGGGGGCGTTAACTCGTTGTGACATAGGACGAAATTTTATAAAGGTGCAACTTGCCAACGAACTGAATTGACCTCCAGTTAAAATTGTTGGAATTTTAGGACTGGCCGTTTCACCAGTTTCGTTTCCACTCTCTAATCCGTTGTGGACCGATAGAATGAATTAACGCCTCCAAACTGAGTTGAGTCTGCTTCGAGAACACATAAACTGTGCGTCAATTATGATGGAGAAGAGTCTGTCCAATTTTTTTTCAGGCGTTATTTCTAATTTCACTTTAATTTCATGTTTACTCTTTTACTTTCTATTAACGTAGATATAGGTACGGGCAGCAGGCTCCTGGTACAGGTTATCATATGATTTCGAGTGCAACTGAGTAGAAAAGCATGGGTAAATTTTTCAAAGACCAATAAAATTTCACAAGAACAATTAATATAGACAGGATGAAATTAAAAAAAAGAGGTTTGTTATAATTATGCAAAAGAATTATAGACAAGCGCTTTAATCCCATGAAAAAATCAATTTTCCAAAAAATAGCAAAATGTCGTTGAGCGTCCGGTCAACGATCAAAAGAACAATTTCATTTACTTTTTCTCTTTTTTAAGTCACAAGAAGTTCAAGGCTTTTTTTCTCCTTTTTTTTTTCAGATCGTCAAGGGAGGCTAAAGTGTACAGATATTGGAACGCCCACAATAGCAAAGCCCTTAATCATTAGCGTCGGGATTTTTATGTTTATGGAATTAACTGGAACAGATGCAATACTCTTCAATGCGGCAAATTTATTCAAAATTGTGGGCATCGCAAATGAGAAGCTCGTCGCAATATCTGTGGGTATTTCTCAACTTATCGGTAATATTTTTTCGTGTTTCCTCGTGGACAAAGTAGGAAGACGAAAGCTTCTGTTGACCTCTGCTCTCGTAATGTCCTTGTCCCTAATAACACTGGGCGTGTTCTTTGCCATCTTTATCCCTGCAGTTGATGGAGGCTTCGCAACAGACGCAGACACTTCATCTGGTTCCACCAGTCCACCGGCCGAAGAGATTTCCTGGCTGCCAGTCTCTTCTATTTTTCTTTTCAATTTGATGTTTTCCCTGGCGTGGGGGCCACTTCCGTGGGTTTTAATTTCAGAAATATTTCCTCTCCGCGCACGTGGATTTGCTTGCAGTTTTGTGACCACGGTGTTCGGAGTTACGCAGTTTATTGTTACCAAAACTTATCACTCTATGGCGGCTGCGTTTACTATCCAGGGTGTTTATTGGGCTTACGCTGGTTTTTGTATGCTAGGCTCCTTGTTTGTTTATCTCCTTCTACCCGAGACAAAAGGTAAAACCTTAGAAGAGATTGAAGATCTTTTCGACAGACCGGTTAAACAAACATACGAAAGTATACATTGATTGGCAGCTATTCACCTCAGTGTCACTGGCTGGTGGTGGATATTTACCAAGCCAGGAAGCAGCGAAGTAAATACCAACAATTAGCCCCCGACACTGAGGTAAATAATTATTTTAGTGTATACTAAAGCAGTGAGATGATATAGCACAAAAAGGTTATTTTAACTTATTTATTCCCGCAACGGTTACAATATTTTCGGGCGCAAATCGCGCGCGCCTTGCTTCGAGTAGAATAGCAAAGGATATTCGGATTTTAAGTAGCCAATCAGTGCGTTTTCAACGCTTTCTGCTGTTTTAGTATTACATATCTAATCTAATGAGTCGGTTTGTGTACAAATGCAGTGGATACGCCAGGGTGACGGCTCAGCTTGGTAAACAATAGCATTAGACTTTGCTGTGAGTATACGGGAAAATTCAGTTGAGTGGCAATCTCAAAGGGAGAGCCACTGCTCAGTTGGACTAGCAATACAATTATATCTGGAGACAATAAAGATAGCAACAATAAGAATGGCTCTAATAAAAGATGTTTTGAATAAAACAAGTGAAAAAAATGGACTTTGTCTTTTATTAAGTCTGTAATCGCGGCTGATGGCGTTTTTTACCACAAGGAAATATCATCACACTTTATAGCTACGATAAAAGGTGAGGACTTCTCGTCGTCGTTACGGTAATCATCTTTCGCTTAGAGCTTTCCATTCAATGAAGTGCAGTTGAATTTTGTTGTGACATAATTGTACATGATACGCATAATCTGATTGGTCAATCCTCCGACGGAACACTATGGTTTCTAAGTTTGTTTACAATTCACCACAGTTTTCCTTGAGCTTCGTTCAGGAAAACTGTTCGCATTTTGAAACAAAAAACGTCTGCAAACATGTATCGATGTATAATTTTGCACCAAATGGAGGCTATCGTTTGTAGACACTCGAGTGGATGACGAAGGCAAAAAGCAAATCAACTCATGTTTTGAAATAAACTTACCCAATTAGCGAAAGATATAAAAATTGCTCGGCTTCCAATCTATAATTTTTTCTTCTTTTTCTCCGTCACAATTCAACAAACTCGGATTTTTTTAAGAGTTACGAAATAAGATTATAAAATAAAACAAAAGTTAAGAGTGAAATTGCTTATCAAAGAACAACTTGCAAAATACCAAAACTATGCTCTGAGCCCGCAAACTTTTCATACGTGTTACTTTAATGGTTGCAAAGGCAGGTTAATATTCTGAATTTAAAGTTCGCGTTTACCTCGAAATTGAAATATTTTCAGCCTTTTTCTTGTTTGTTTCGTCCTAAATTCTAGATGTTTTGGCAGAAAAGTTTACGCTTCAGATGTTTTCTAGAAACTTTCCAATCACGAAACGAACTGCGTACGTTGGCAAAACCAAAGCAGTAACACATTTGTCTTAATACTTTTGATCGTAAAACACATTCTCCTTTCCAGTTCCATAGGGAGTGTATAGACTACAGTAGGGAGAAAATGCATGCGCACTACTGTTAAGGTTTAAAATTGCTTTATTGTTTTAGACCAACGAGAGGTGAACAAATAATAATCACGTTACAAGAGCGAGTTTGGACTTTGGCTACAGACTTAACTTATTTGATACACTCCGGTGTTGTTACAAAAAACGACGACATTTTAAGCATTCGTTGCCGATCATTTATACGGTTTACTGAAGTTAAACTAGTTTTATAGTCAGACGTTATCTCAAATGGCAAAATTGCAAATCAAAAATTTTCACTGGCAGTCAGTTCATTTAAATGAGCCCAAAGAGAAAGGCAGACTCGGGAGATCTGTCTTAGCTGCTATGCCAGTAGCTCTGGCCTCTCTCAGTTGGGGTTACTGTTGGGGATATTCATCGTCTGCTTTAGAAGAATTGCAAAACCCTGCCATAAACCCAATAGACACCCAGAATGGTTAGCGCAACGGCCACAAGATATGCTTAATTTATTTAGAAATTCTCTCCTTGCTCGCTATGTGGCAATTATATAAACAAATGCAATTTAATTTCTGTTCTTTTTACGATCACAAATCTCGTGTTTGCAAGTTCAGTACAGTTAAGTGCCTCCTCAACGCGGCAGTTCTATATTTTCAACCTCAACTCGTCTGATGATTATCTTAAGTTGAAAGGGATTTTATATTTTCGAAGTGCAAACATATAATTTACTGTATCATCAATCTCTTACAGAGTCAAATAACTTGTTGTACATAGTCTTAGGAGCAAACTTATCACCATTTTCATATTTTGCAAATCAAATAAAATATTTCTCAACTCTCTTTGGAAACAAAAATTTAAAAGTAACATTGTCCGTATGATATCAATATAGATATCAAATTAGTATCAAATGCTTAGTCAATCCTTTCGTAGTTGTGCTTATCTTTATTAAAGATGGCCTCTATTTCCTCCAGTGTTTTGCCTTTTGTCTCGGGCAAAAGGAAGTAAACGAAAAGGAAACCTAGGAAGGAAATGCCTGCATAAACCCAATAGGTTCCTTGGATGGTGAGAGCATTAACCATGGAATTATATGTATAAGTGACAACAAACGCCATTGACCAGTTTGTCAAAGCTGCTAAGCTGCAGGCAAAGCCACGAACACGCAGGGGGTTTATTTCCGCCATCACAAGCCATGCAACGGGTCCCCATGCAAGGGAGAACATCAGGTTGAATAGAACAATGCACAAGATTGACAACCAAGAAATGTCTTTAGCTGGCACCGAGTGGCTGATAGAGCTGAGCATGGAAACAGTGTCAGACGTTGAGCCACCATCTTTCGGAGGAATGTAGATCAGGAAGTACACACCTAGGGTTACAAGAGACACACACATACCAAGTGCAGCGGGCCACAGGAGAATTCTACGTCCTACTTTGTCCATTAGGACACATCCCAAACCTGCAGCCACGAACTGTACCAAGCCGACAGTAATAGCTGCAAGCTTTCCATTTGAAAAGCCTGCAGTTGCAAAAATGTCTGCAGCGTTGAACTCCACTACGTCGACTCCAGAGAGCATCTGGAACGCCATCAACCCGACACTGATTGCAAGAGGCTTAGCGATCTCTGGCGATAATAATTCCCTTAGATGAAATTTCTCATGACGATCTGTCTCAAAAAAAAAATAAGAAAGGTTATCTTTTTTTCATATGTATAGACGCACCAGATCTCTGTGAACCTTTCCCAACTCTAAATCAAGCTTCATCGGCCCGACAAACTTATGACAGTGAGAGATATATTAATAGGAAAGGTGAAGCAGTTCATTCATTAACCAAATTCAAATTCTGAGCTAAAGGTGTCGCTAAATACAATAACTTTCAAATTCCTCTGTGTTTGTTTTACAAGAAGCTCACCTATGGTCTCTCTGATGGTGACACATTCTTCTTCGATGTCTGCATCAGGACCTCTTAACCACAACAAGGATTCTAGGGCTTTACTTCTACGGCCCTTTCCCAGCAACCAGCGAGGAGTCTCCGGCACAGGAAACATAAGAATGACTTGCAGCGTGGGAGGAATTGCACCTATAAAAGCTAGCCATCTCCAGTGACAAAAGACACCCGCTACATAGGCTAGTATAAGACCAACGGTGATGGCCAAATTGGTGACAGACCCCAGAGTACCACGTATCCTAGCAGCTGAAATTTCAGCAATGTAAACCTTAAAGAAAAAATTTTCCATTAATTGGGCAATTTTTTGTTAAAGTATAAAGTAATTTGATATTATCTTTGGTTAATTACTATTCGTGATTAGTCTTGAGATCTCGCCATATGCTTGACTATTTACATCTGATGCAAAACTATCATAAACGCAATTTTTCCTGATTTGCATTGCCTTTAAAATTTCAATTTTTTCACGTGACTTTCACCTCTTGTAACTATTTTTGTAACTTGATATTAGTTTTAAAAGGTTAAAACAAATAGTAACCTTCTTACCATGAATTAAAATCTTAACACAGTTACACCAAGGCTAGGTTAATGATACACTCTGTGTTATAACATAGCGCGCGCGCAAGGCCTATCTATTTCCTAAGGAACTACCACAATACAAATCCTTATGTAACGCGCGGCCGTGCACCAAAACATGACGTGTGTAGTTTCACTTCAACTGAAATTTCCCGTCGAGTTTAGCCGCGAGGTCTCAAAACTTTGAAGTTTAGGAGTTGACGATACTTCATTCTCAAACACGATGCGAATTATGGCTGAAAACAAAACTGGGTTTTCTGACTTCAATTGAGGCTTCGCGACGTTGGTAACTCTTTAAGCGTTTTATGTCCCAAGGTGTTGTTCAATAGGAGATTTTGTTTTGAAAAAAGCATAATTTTCAGAATTTTTAACACAAAGCCACGCAAATTTCTGGTCGTGAATTCTAGTAAATAAGAATCCAATCCAGTTAGGTTAAATCTATCACACGTATCTCGTTCTTTTTGTTCGTTTCCCTTCTGAGCATAAAATTTGCACTTCATAAATCAATGATTTGGTGTTGAAACCTTTCGTGGTTGTTGTTTCTTTGTCATTTATTCATAGTTTTCAGGTAATCATGAACTGACCAATTCTTAAATCTACAGACATACCGGAACAGTCAACGAGATTGTACCACAGCCCAGGCCTGTAATGATCCGACCGCTGTAAAGCATGGCAACACTCTGAGCGAAGCAAATGAGAAGCCATCCAAGCACAAATGGAATTGTGCAAAACATAATGGTACCTTTCCGACCGAGCTTGTCAATCACCCATCCACCAATGACACTTCCGAAAATAGCTCCAATAGTAACTAAAGACTAGAACAAAATGTATAAGAATTAATCTCAAAGGCATGAAGCTTAAGTACGATAATTGTAGTCTAAAGGTAGAATGTTAGAAAATTCAGATGGAAAATAAAAATTTCACTTATACCCTTATATATCTGGCCTATATACAATAGACAGTGGTCAGCCTGATTAGATTGATCGAAACTGTTGCATTCCAAGAATTACATCTAAGTATTTGCGATTTTAAAATCTTAATCTAACCAAGATGTTTTTTGCACATACATCCTTTTTCAAACACGAAAACAAATTTTATTGCTGGTCCCCACTAGAGGGAAACATCTTAAATTGGAGTGTGGCTGTTTTGAAGTTATCCGCAATATCTTGGGTTTGAGTGATGAACGCAGGCAACAAGAGATATATGATGTCCTCCATTCCCACTAGCCCCATCATAGCAATGACAATGCATCTAACTCATGAAGCTAGCGCTAGCTTTCTTAAAGTAGGCATGTCACGCCACTATCCGTATAATTTTCCTGCTTCAGTCCAAAAAATTGTACTTTTACGTCCTTAACAAATACACAGGGCCAATAAATATTCAAGAGCGACATATGAAGAACATTAAGAATGACTGCCTTCATGCAAACTTGGACAATCGTGATCCATCGGTCATAGCGTGACACAGTCTTTCGAGCAAGGACCTTTCAGCACTATCATTTCAAATTAGGGCTTTGGGTCAAAAGGGTGACTAAATAGCGTGTCATATTGATTATTTTAAAGAAATTGTTTGCCGGATCTTTCCGAAAACTTTTTCTACCGGATCGAAAGGTGGAAATAATTTTTGTACTTGAGGAATGGGAAATAGCAAGTTTTTTTTTTTCTAGCATGCAGAGAAAATCTGCTGCTTCTTGATTTACTAAATAAAGCATCATCACCGGCCGAAATAGGAGAAGTTACGTGCACAACTCACGTTGGGGCAGAATTTATGCAAAAATTCTTTTATCTTCTTTTATTGCTACTTAAAATTTTATCAAGGGTTCCGCTACATTGCCTTGACGCTGTTCCTCTTTTAAAATAATATCTTGTGGATTTTTCTACAATTGTTTTACGTTATATTAAAAGCACTGATCCACGTCATTTTCAAATGGATCCCATCGTAAATCATGTGATTCTCATGAGAGTCATGCGGCTCCTCAGCTATCAAACAAACAGTTTTAGCCACAGGCGAAATAATGAGGGAAATGTACCGTGGGATATCAAAGAGGCAAAATGGCCCCCTTCGGCAGTCTCTGTAGTACAAAAATAGACGCTGCTCGGTTAAGCCTGAGGCGTGATTTCGTTGAAACCGAAGCAGAAACAGTTTTTCCAATCTATTTATGTTTTTAGGCTAGATTTTGGGTTTTTTTTTATTCTTTTACAGATGTTGTTTAAAAGTTTCGCTAAGTCTAGTCAGCGCTACATATGCGGTTATTACACGACACACACGTTAAAAAATAAATATATAAAACGCGAGACAATTAAGGGGTACTCTATACGACGTAATGATAGTGGCATAAATATGATCCTACGAATAATAATACCCAACTTACTGAAAACCAAGATGCCTGATCGTCAGATAAACGAACTGCAGAAGGTGCATTAGGGCTTTGTAAATCCAGTAAGGCAGACGATGAATATCCCAGACAGAATCCAAAGCTGACTGGGCCGAGTGCTGCAATAAAGGTGGCAAGGATCGATCTGCCAACTCTGTCTTGAATCGCGCTCATTTCATTAGACTGGGAACATGGCGAGTGTATGTGGCTTTTTTCGAACTCAGCCATGTTCGATACTTCGTTAAATGGCAAAGACTTAATTCGGTGATTCGCATCAGGTGCTGCAAGCTGGTGCCATTATGTCATCGAAAACACGTGATGACCAGCATCCCAGCCTTGGTTATGGAAGTCACGTAACGCTTAGATGGAGTGTTGCGTGACATGTCACAGAATGGCTAAGCAGGAGAGTAACAACGTGTGGATAAGACAACGTTAAAACGTAAAGCATGCGTAAACGGATCGAATTTGGCCAGCCACGCGCCAATTTCCCGCGCAAAATTGAAAAACAAAAACAAAAAACCGGCAAACTTTCCGGAAAAAGAGAAAATCGAATCACAAGTGTAAAGAAATCTAAAAAAGCGAATGGAAAAGTAAGACTTTTCGAACACAAAATCATTTAACTACACGTATTTTTTCGATTCATCTTTTGCCACAACAACTAACTGGCCAATGCGGCCGTTTTCAATTACTCTAAGACAACTTGGTTCTGACGGTACGTAATCACTATGTTAAGTCACTTCTACGTTCGCAGATGCGAAACGCTTCAAGCACGCTTGAAACAAAACTCACGCATTATACCACTTGTTATCGGGTAGTAATTGTAACAAGAACTCGAATTTCGGTTATTATACTGTAGCAATTGACTGGTGGTTTCTGCCTTCAAATTTTGATTAATGATTCTCTTATACACATCAGATTATTATCATTATCATTTATCGAGGCTCATGTTAGTTTGGAGTGTCATAATACCAATAGATATGCTTAACTGAATTGATTGATCAAATATTTTTTTTATTTCGTGCAAGTGCTGAAATAAACCTACACTGTATTTACACCAGACTATCTACTATGTGGAAGGAAATTGTGAAGAAGGAAATGAATATGAACTAATTTTCCGCCAGGGCAATGTGCAAAAATCGTACATTCTAAACATCTAAATGATCACTTCTGTTTTCTGTCTGGATAGAAAGCAGCAAAGGTTATACAGTCGGTTATAATCAACAATGTTACCTAAGGGCTTTATGGGAAAAGTCCGCAGAGTTACTTAATAAGTGCTTTACTTTTCCATTATTCATGCGGAAAATCTTTCTGATCAGCTGATTGGCTGGGAGGGAAACGCAATGTTTTAGCGCACGCATTAATTTCCAAATAATCACAATGAAAAGCAAAGTTAACCCACAAAAACATTCCAGAAATGGTTCAAAATTTGCGCTTAAGCCTTGCCTAAAAACTTTCGCACTCAGCTTCTGCTATCAAGACTTCACCACAGGAAAACGTTTTCCTACGATGAAGAGCCCTGGTGTTCAAAAAACGCTTAGGGATGAATTTGGCTACTCCGACCGACGGAAATATGCCTCATAACTATTTATCTTTTTCTTATTACTTAGCTAATCCTTTCATAGTCTTGTTTATCTTGGTCAAACATGGCTTCCATTTCCTCCAAGGTCCTGCCTTTTGTCTCAGGTAGAAAGAAATAGACGAAAATAAACGCGAAGAAGCAACATCCGGCGTAAAACCAGTATGCCCCTTGGATAGACAAAGTGTCGGCCATGGACTGGTACGTTTGGGTAACGATAAAAGAACATGTCCAATTAATCAACGTCGCAATACCACCAGCCTGGCCTCGAGCTCGTTGAGGAAATATTTCCGACATTATTAACCACGCAACTGGTCCCCAACCGAGGGCGTAAAACATGTTGAATACGACAAGGCTTGTGATTGACAGAGAGGAAATTCTTTTCGCTGGAACAGATCTATGGATAGAACCAAGCAAGGCGAGAGTGTCCGCTTGTGGGGTTTTCTCTGTTGGAGGGATGTAGATCTCAAAATACACTCCTAGTACTACATGACAGATGCACATCACCAGTCCAGTCATCAGAAGGATCTTTCGTCTTCCAGCTTTGTCCATGAGCAGACAACCTAGGCCAGCACCGATAAATTGTACGGCTCCCACAGTAATGCTGATAAGCTTTGCATCGGAAAAGCCTGCGTTTGAAAAGATGGATGCAGCATTGAAGATTACTGCGTTTACCCCGGAGAACTGCTGAAAAACCATCAACCCAATACTGATCAGCAGGGGCTTTAACATCGATGGTAATAAGAAGTCACGCCAAGGAAGCCTCTCCTGATGATCTGTTGAGGATTGAATAACATGAACAGTTACATCCACTGCAATTAACCCTTTAACTCCCATGACTGACCAAGACAGAATTTCTCTTCACTATATCAATACAATATCAAGCAGAAAAGTGATGAGAATAAAGAAAAATATCAATTATGGGATTACTAGTTGATCCAATATCAAATTCTCCGACTTAACATTTTCAGAATTGTATGGCAGACAGTAAGGAGAATTACTAATGAGATCTTGGGAGTGAAGGTGTTAAGGGACCAGTTATTATTCATTGTCAGGGCGCTGGAGGAGAAATCTTTTTTTGGAGGGAGGGGGTTCGGTTCACATGGTTTTCAAAGGGAACGAAGGAGCCTTGTGTAGGGATGAGGTAAATTCCCCTCACTATCAATTAATATATTATAGGAGATAACCTTCGTCTAGACTCGCTTTAATCACACAACACTCTTCCTCGACGTCAAAATCAGGTCCTCTTAACCACAACAATGCATTGGCCGCTTCGCTGTTTCGGTTATTTCCCAACGACCAGCGAGGAGTCTCCGGCATAGGAAACATCAAAATCACGAGTAGGGCGGGGAGCATAGCACCAATGAGAGCCAGCCACCTCCAATGCACAAGGACTCCAAAGCTATAACTTAGTAAGATGCCAGCTGCTATGGCCAGTTGATTGACAGCGCCAAGTGTCCCGCGCAGTCGTGCAGTTGCGATCTCAGCTACGTAGACCTAAGGCAGAACGGATAGACTAAGTTATAGGGATCAAGGGAGCTATAAATTGCTGCAGCTTATTCCAGTCTTCTCCCTAAGATGAGATAATGGTTTACTCGCAGCACAAGTCAGGTTTTGCTGACTGTTTTAGCGGCGAGAGGCATTCAGTGAGTCTAGAGTCTCACCCAAAAACACAACATAATGTGTCAATGAGGGCTCAGGGCCAGACTTCTAGAACGTGGGAATACAAACTTCTTTGGAGTTTACTACTTACGGCTCTCTATTCAGTTGAACGGTTCGAAGTGATAGCCTCGTGGTTACCATGCTGGACTTCGGATGCGCGCGATGTGCTACTTACTAGAACAATGCTATTCCTGACTTAACATATAATATATAGATTTAGCAAAGCCTAAAAGCGGAGCTTGCATTTTTTTGTCCCGCACGTCTCAAGGGCACAACGCCTTGCC